GATAGGAGTCTCACGGTCTCTCCTGCCCGGGCTGGCTTTGAACCGCGATCCTCAGATCTCAGCCTCCTGAGTAGCTAGGATTACAGGCGTGAGTCACCAGCACCCGGCTTGGATTTACTTCTATATGACATTTAAGATTGCTGATGGCTTGGGTTAACAAAGAGGAAGCAGCTTATAACAGAAGGCAAGAGCTGTCTGATTTACGATGTGAATGCTGCAAGACCACTGAAATGAATACTGTCTCAGAGTTAACAGCAAATAATTGAATATAATACATGTAATGGCTACAGAAGAACCTAAATTACAAAGATTCGCTGCTAATGGCTTCCATCTGAATTAAGTCAAACTGCATTATAAACAGGAAAAACGCATCTGCTTAAATATGAGAGATGGGTGATTTGGTTTATTTTTGTTTGTCTAGCCTACCCTATGTCTATACTCATCAAGGTGAAATAAATTCTAACATTTAGTTTTTTTTTACAAGCAGAACTCACATAGAATAACTAAATCAAGAGCTCATATGTAAAATATGAGAGTCACTCAAACAATTTTTTAATCTAGTGCTACAGGGTTTGAACCACAGAATCTCCCTTGCTAGGCAGATCTCTAACCAGGAGGAGGAAATTCTGCCCACAGATAATCTGCAGACTGAACCAGAATACCAGCTCTTTCTTACGTATTCAGATAGTAAAGCTAGTCTAGTTTGACTTGTCAGCTTTTAAAATTGTGGACCATGTGAAAATTACATTTTATACACACATACACTTACACACAGACACCCATGTTGCTTCTTTTTCTCTGGAGAGTTAGTACTAATTCAATGATAATTTACAAAACAGGCTTATTTTTTTCCTTTGGCAAACTGTAGACAATAGAGCCTTAAGATGCATTTTTTGGAATGGAATGTTTTCATATGTAATTCATCAGCTCTTTAGGTTACTTGGGTTCTGTCTGGCTAATACAAACTAATTGTCAGAGCAGTGACTATCCACCCACCATATTCAAGAATCACTTGCTGATTGTTTATTTATTTACTTATTTATTTTTATTGGTTTAGAGACTTGAACTGGGGACCTGAGTACTGTCCCTGAGCTTTTATGCTTAAGGCTAGTACTCTATCTCCAGAGCTATACCTCCACTTCCAGTGTTCTGGTAATTAATTGGAGATAAATATCTCAAGCACTCTCTTGGCCTAGATGCATTGGAATCTCAATTCTGGAATTCCAACCTCATTAGTTTCTAGGATTACAGGAGAGAGCCACTCCTACATAGCCCTGTTTATTTTATTTTTATTATTACTATTATTGTTATTCAAAAAAATTGAATCCCATGTACGTTTAAGTTGTAATACTGCAATGTGAGCAGGAAAGTTGGCCTTCTAAACACTAGCCTGAAAAGAATGGGATCAATTTTTTAAACTCCTGGGTGCACATACTCGCTTTAAACAGAAGCTGATCTTTCACACTTAGGCAATAGACAATGAAGCTGCTGTTAGCAAAGGTGCCAGCAATGATGCCCAACTCTGAGCACTTAGTTTCTTCTTTCTCAGTTCCTGCAAATGCTAGGTCATACAGGGATGGAGGCCTGAGTCTTCTCCAGATTTAGCTTCATAATTGAGAAAATGCCAAGCTCAGACACACAAACAGTGCATGTTTTCTGTCATATGTGGAAGCTAGATCTAAAATACACCAAGACATGATAAATTACACAGGTTTCTAAGCATCCACACACAGTGAGAATAAAGGTTACTCTTAGGGGAGGAACACTAAGGCTTCATGCTTCTGTGCCTTTGATCATATAAAATATTATTTATCAAAATGAATTACAGGAAACAGAAATAAGAGATGTTGGTTCTTTTTGTCTTGTTTATCTGTCTCTGTGGGGAAAGAGCCCTGCTCTCAGGGTGTAATTCCAATAGGTCAGTCCATGTAGGATATTGATAATAAGTCTCCATGCAATAAAAATGCAGTCTCAGAGAAACATGAACTGGTGGCTCATGACTAATTCTAAAACTCAGTTGTCTCAGATCTGAGAATCGCAGTTCAAACCAGCCCAGGCAGGAATGTCCAAGAGATCCCGATCTCCAGTTAACCACCAAGAAGCTAGAAGTGGAGCTATGGCTCAAGTACACAGCTCAGGTTCAGATATACAGTCTCAAGTAATGCTCTCCCTTTTAAAATATATAATTATACTCTTATTATTAAGATATTCTGCAGAGACGTTATTATTTTACAACTTAGATGATGAGCACAATTGTTTCTGGACAAGGTCACCCCTTTCTTCCCTTTTCCCTAGATTCCCCCTCCCATCCCTGCCCACAAGTTGCATAGTTCATTTCTCACATAATACATACTGCATTTGTTTTCCTCTCCTCCCTCCATTTTTGGGACTCCTCTTTGCTCTCAGAAAGACACAAAAAGGCAAACAATAACGCAAATAGAAAAAACAAAACAAAAGATCAATGACAACACCCAGGCTCTGATATATAGTCTCAGACAATGTTCCCATTTTATACATCATACTGAGTTGGTGGCCTTGGTAAAATAGAAATGACTCTATTTACCCATCTATCTCTTTGGTTTTAAATAAAATCTATACCAGGAAATGGATGGAGCTAGAAGAAATCATGTGGAGTGAGGTAAGCCAAGAGCAAAGAGACAAACAGCACATGGTCTCCCTGATAAGTGCATGTTAAATCCAAAATGTAAGGGATATGACAAAATTAACAAGACTTAAGAAACAAAGGACTTCCACTCATCTGGTCGAATCACTACTAAATAACCCCATGCTGCTGATCACATATATGGAATATATGTGCACACTAGAGGGAAACCAGGAGGATGACACAGAACTAAAGGGAATCAGGGAAAAACATACAACAGCAGTACCCATCAATTGCACTGGACATTGACCAAAATGAACTAAGCAACTCAATGGCAGCGATGGGAGGGAGGGAACAAGTGGGAAAGAGGGAACAGCTGACGCTATGCAAAACAAAAGAAATGTACATATCACCCAATGTGGAAGAAATAACTGTATTGCAAAGCTCATAGAACTCATAAATGTTATAGATCATGAAAGACAATTTACCCCATGAAAGTTAGAATGTGTTTGTGACTTTAACTAAGCACCAGTATCCCACAATACTGTGAAAATTGGGAAGTTATGTAACCTCTTAGTCACAATAAAAAACTGAAAAAAAAAAGATAAGGGAAGATCTAAAAAAAATAATATCTGTACCACACACCATGGTATTATTAAAGAATAAATAAATACACAAATGAGCAACAAAATAAGATGGATGCAAAAACTAGACTATCAACGGTATGAGGCAAATTTGTCCTACATAGTGACCAGGCTATAGAGCAAGACTCAGCCCCCCAAAATAGGAGTAAATGCACAGAACATAATCAGTGTTTATTATTACATAAGTGGTAATACTTTTGTCTCTCAGAGAAACACACCATGCCCCTTCACAGCCTCTAGCCTCCCTCCAAGAGCCTCTTTCTCTCTCCAAGGGGTTGGGAAGGGCTTTTGGGCCCCATGGTCTCTTCCCTGTGAAGTCCTGGTGAGTGCAATGTGACTGAAGGGCTGCCAGTTGGACTTACAATTGGAGAGGACACACCAAGATGTAGGCATGGAATGTGACAGTATTTGGTTGCCTAGCAGAGAGAAAATGAAACCACAGACAATTGTATTGATGAATCATGAATCCAGCCATTATTCTTTCTGAAATTTTGGGCATTTTATTCAGCATTTCTGCTCAATTACATTATTATCTTTACCCTTTTACATTTTGTTTTGTTTAGCTTTGCTATGCCAGAGATCAAACTCAGAGACTCTCTCATCCTGGCAGTCAGCTGTATGTTAATTTGTAATGGCCTTAAATGCATCTCAGTAGTAAAACACTGCCAAGCTTTTGAGAATTCCAAGTTCCATCCTCACCCTGTCACCCACAAGGCACTTTACTTGGGTCTGGGGACTGTGGCTCATGCTTGAATACTACTACTCAGGAGACTGAGATCTAAGCATCCTGGGTCAAGAACAGCCCAGAAAGTCTCTGACATTCATAGCCAATTAACTACCAAAATGTCAGAATTGAAGATTTAGCTCCAGTGGTAGAGCCCAGCCCTGAGTTAAAAAGCAAAGGACACAGTGCCTAGGCCCTGATCACAAGGCCCAGTACTCACATAAAAATCACCTCATTTGTAAAATGAGGATGCTGAAGATATCTGGGATAATTGTTCATTTTGAAGGATTAGCTATTTCCAAGGTAAAAATAAAATGTACCTCCTTATTGGCTGTCCTGCCATGGGTAGGAATGACAAATATCCCAACTTCTTTTAACCTTCTTGAGAATTGTAAAGTTCACCTGCTTGCATGAAATAAATAGTGATAAAGAAATCCCTGTGTGCTTTTGTGTTCTAGAATATGGCTGATCATCAGTAACCCCCACCCCTACAAGAATCAGATGGAAGCTTACTAGCTATCCACTCTTTGTTATGGCTCCAGAACACTAGGGGAAGCACTCTCATAGACTCATCTCCTCTGACAACAAAACAACCCCCACCCCTGCCCAGTTGACCTGTCCAGCCATGTCAGCTATGTTCCTTCCCTATGAAACTGATGCAAAATCAGCACCACAGAGACACTGGTCTCCACATTGGGGGTGCTCTGCCTTGGTTGTAGCCAAA